CTAAATCGTAATATTCTCCTCACTTAAAGCCGCCGACGACCACCAATGGAAGATCCAGTTCCAGTGTTGCCGGCGGATGGTTCGCTCAAAGGTGTACTAGGGTTTCCTCTCCATCGCCGATTATGTGGATTTTTTTTCGTGCATACAGTCTGAACTTTCTCCGTCTACAACCTTAAGGTGAAGCGAAATGCGGAATGAGTGCCGCGAACAAGGAGAGGAAGACTGTCAAGGAAGAGAAGAAGAAGGCGGTGACGATTGAAAAACGGGTTCCTGAGGAAGAATTCCGCGAAATATTGGTATGTCAAATTACATTTTTTGCCCTAGACTATGCTTATTATATTTGATGTATTTTGATTTCACGTTTAATTTTTTGGTTTTGTTCATATTAGTTGATTTCATGACAATACATGTATTATAGTAGCCTGATAACTAATTATGATAAATAGATGACTCATATGATTTGGAAAAATTAATATGGGGAAAGTACAGTTTGCACCTCTGAACTATGGGGTATGTATCAAAGATCCCCTTGAACTATAAAACGTATCCAAATGACCCATTCGTTTGGAATTTGCTTGTGTTTAATGACGTGGCGAGTTGACTTTTTTCATTGTTAATCAATTTTGTGACTTCAGTAGTTTTTTGACATATTTTCCCTTAATTTACTACATTTGTATCTACCAGTCCACCTATGTATCTATCATTTACCAAAAAAGAAAGGAAAAAGAGAAAAAAAAAATATATATTTACCATCTGTATTTACCATCTATATTTACCACCTATATGTCCACCGCCTTTCACCCCAACTCTGGCCCAACTCTCCACCATTTCAAAATTTCAAAAGCCATTTTCATCATCACCACCAGTCCACCATCAACATCCCATTTAATTTCTTCCACCACTAATTCTAAATGGCAAATTAAAATCATTACTTTTACTACTACCGCTCCACAAGAACTTCCCCAATCTTCCATTTGTCATTCGTCATTCTTCTTCACTACTCAAACAATCAGCTTCTTCGAAACCAGAACACGAATTCAATCATCAAGAACACGATAACCACCATCCCAATTGATCCTCGAGTGAACCCTGCTATTCAATTTAGTCACATTCCTCTGTTAATCCTCCGAAAACCGTACGCCATGAGAGCCTCATCTTCTCTTCCCCCAATCTTTCTCTATTCCGCCACTTCCTCCGGGGATGTTCGCGACAGTGCGAGCAGCGACGTCAAAGCCCTAGCACGGCGGCACGAGCAGGGGAAATAGAAGCTCGCGGCAGCGACTGTGCGAACTGAGAAAAGACTAGTTACGACGGAAGAAGGGTTTCGCTTCGACGATGACTCGAGGTAATCTTTCCCCGTGAGAGGATTTTCCAACGACATCTCCATTCTTCGTTTCTGTTTTGGTTTTGAAGAAGTGAATTTGTTTTTGAAGAGAGATCTTTAATCGTACAGTATAAAGCATAGGGAAAAGAGAGAGAATATTTCATTCTTAGAAAATAAATAAATAAAAAATAATAATATGTATTACCTCACAAGGGCAAAAGTGTAATTGCCCCTTAAAAATTAACGGAGTTACTAATTTAACGTTTGACTACAAAAGAAATGGGTCATTTTGGTACGTTTTATAGTTCAATGGGGTCTTTGGTACAGCCCCATAGTTTAGGGGTGCAAACTGTGCTTTCCCCTACTAATATAAATGATTAAGTTCAGTAGGATAGAGAATAGTTAAGTGATGGTTACGAATTTAATTTCCAATATTTTACTATCTATCATTATTGTCAAGCTCTATGATTAATATTTAGTATTTCTCTTGATTTTAAATATGGAACCATGTTTTTGTGAGTAGGGGATAAATTTGATGTCGTCCGTCATCATCCACACTTTGGCGGAGGTGTTGTTGGACGCCAACACGCCACCATCGTCTCTGAATCTTCTTCGTCGACCTCACAAAGAAGAGCAATAATCTAGCAATAATCTGCTTGTGGTCAGAGCCACCAACCACCGCCTTCATACCTGGCGATCCACATAACGGGCCCGAGGCAATATAGGCACCGCCACCAAGCGATTCAAATAATAGATTATGTTTTTTTGTTTGTCATTTTTGAGTTGTGTCAGTAGTGGATTACGTATGTTTTTAGTGGTTTTGGATAAGTTTGTCTTGAATTTCAGTAATTTCATAGTGGATATCAATAATTTCGTAGTGGATTTCGGGCAATTTTCGTTGTGGATTTTGATAGTTGTAGCGGATTTTGATATGCTTGTAGTGGATTTTCGTAATGGAATACATTAATTACATAGTGGTTTTCAATAAGTTTATAGTGAATTTTCCTAATGGAATACATTAAGTACATAGTAGTTTTCGTTAATTGCATGGTGGTTTTCGTTAATTGCATGGTGGTTTTCGTTAATTGCACGGTGGTTTTCGTTAATTGCACATTGGTTTTCGTTAATTGCAAAGTGGTTTTCGTTAATTACATAGTGATTTTCGATATGTTTATAGTGAATTTTAATTTGTTTTTTTTTAAATCAAAATGTGAAAACAAAAGTGAAAAAAAAATTAGAAATTAAAAATCAAAATTAAAAAAAAAAATATTTATAATTTTTCTTTTAATTTTCTAATTTTCTTATTAAAAAAACTCCATAATAAAAAAAGTTAAAATAAAAAATCATTTAATCGAAATTAAAAAAAAATCCATTTTTTCCTGAAAAAAAATGTTTGATTTATGTATACGAGATTTCAGAGGAGTTATTTTAGGAGAGAGATTAATAATGGACCCTAAATTAGGGGATTTGATTATACAAAAATAGTTTAATTATATTTTTATGAATATAATAGGGATAAATGGGGTAATTATGCTAAGTGAGGGGCTATTTTTAATAGTGGAAAAAAAAAGTGGATTTATGCCTGTAAAGAAATGGTATGAGGGGGTTATCTCATATAACTCCGAGAAAAAATTGTGATTAGAAAACTGAACCGGCTATTTTAATATAAGATGTCATAATAGATAGTTATTGAGACTGGTTTCAAAATGTGTCATATTAAGGCATCATGGCAGCGTCATTAAAAACTAAATTTCTAGTAGTGTTATGAGTTATGTTAAGTTAAAATACTATATGAGAGGTATCAAAAAATGGTAAAAATATTTTGGGCCTATATTATTAGCAAATGTGTTTTGAGGGGCTCTCCCAAATTAACCCAAAAAGAATGACAAAAACTAAAAAAGAAACAGGACCGAAGAAAATGTTGATGTCGCCCCCCCATGATTTTGAATATTGAAACATCCACCAGCAGCAAATGATCGATCCGCCGCCGACCACCACCAGTATATCGAAAACGCACGTTTCTTTTGTTCGCCTCGTTTGAATAGCCAACCATCAAACCGCGGCCGACCACCACAGGACCTCTCTTCCGACTGTGAAACTCTCGATTTCAATTTTCACTGTCAAAATAGCCTTCAACACTTTCATATATGGACATAAAAAATTGAGAGAAATGACAAGGGGGAAGAACCACTACGAGAAAACTGAAAATTGCAGAGATGTTGGTGGAGAAAAAAA